ATAACACATGTTCAATCCACGTCATGACAAACCGAAACATTCTGCTTTGCTTGTGTGTGTGTGTGTGTGTGTGTGTGTGTGTGTGTGTGTGTGTGTGTGAGAGAGAGAGAGAGAGAGCACTGCCGGACCTGGATAGAGCATTGCCGCTTGCTTGCACTCTCCATCGTCGACGGCATTAGCTCGTCGTGTTTCTCCATGCATTCCGTCAGCGCCTCGAAAGTCTGCTGCCTCGTGCTCTTCCTTTTCCCAGAACCGCCAGGGGTGCCCGTCGTCTGCAAAGAGCCTCGCGTCGACCCCTCCTCGTCGTCTTCTCGCCCTGCACCTCCTTCCCCGTCCGCCACCGATTCAGGATCCACGTAAGACGTCGAAGGCGGGCGCACGCCGCCAGACTCACCGGTGTCTGCCACGTTCTTCGGGTGGATGGTGTGGTTCATCCCAGTCGACCCCTCTATCTCGTCATAAACTGCGCGATCCATCGTGAAATTGAAGCCCCTGCTCGCCCTCTCCTTCGACGTCAACTGGAAAAAGTCAGCACCCCCTGACGGTGATTGAAAGTGATGGACTTTCTTGAACTGCTGCATTAGATTGTCCCACTTCTTCCCGCATTTCTCCGCATTCCTGTCCACACCGACGTTCTTCAACCTTTGGGCGACGTCTTGCCATTTCCATTCCCGCGGTTTCATCCGTGCATATGCGTGGCCCATCCCCTGCATATGCGCATCTTGGTCACGTTTAGCCCTTATGAGGGCTATAATGTGTTCCACGGACCAGAAGTTGCGCTTCTCCTCTGCATCACCGTCGCCTTCGCCACCGCTCCCCTTTCCCTGCCCTTTCTTCGCCCGCGGACGAGCATTGCGGCCGGAAGGCTTGGACTTCCCACCCTTACCAGCCATGTCGCTCTGCAACGATGGCGACGCGTGACCACTCCCCCCTTCCCCACACTCTACGTCGTTGTCGTCGTCGTTGTCGTCGTCGTCGTCGTCGTCGTAGTCGTCGTCTGCTTCCGCAGGTGGATCGTCTGTCTCGTTCTCGTTCTCCCGGTCTCCCACGTGAAGACGCTCCACCCCCCGTGTGATGTATTCCTCTCGCCGCAGCCGGTGATCCCGCCGCAGGTCCCTCCACACCTCCCTCCCGTCGCGACCATTACCAACATCCAAGAAGTCGGTCCCGCCGTCAACTCCGATGCCACGGCCTCATGCCACTTCCGACGCCGCAGACAGGGGAGATGGCAACTGCATCCACTCCGGCCGACCCTGGGCGCCCTTGGACAGAGAGGCCGCCCGTGGTTGGGGCATCGACGAGTTCCGGTTCGTTCCCGCCGTCTCACTCGCCAACGCCCTCGTCCTCGCTGATCGATCAACAACTGTCAATTGCCCGCCTTCGTCGTCGGGGTGGGGTCGCACGAGCACTGTGCGCGATGGAGTTGTAGACCGCCTGGTGGACAAACCAAACGACAGGTTGACGCGGCCATCTCCTTCGTCTTCGCCAAGGCCAGGCCGAAGGAGTTCAGTGAACGACTGCTCGTACATGTCGCCGCTCGTCCCGCACAGCTCCGTGGCTGTCCACTCCTGCGTTGATCCGCTGCCCAACGACACGGTTTGTGGTCGTCTCTCCACCACCTCCTCCTCGTCCGATGAGCCGGGGAGTGGTTGCAAGTGCGGTGGCAATGCATCATACCCAACCCGCTGGGAGGCCCTGCCAACGGTCGACAGGCTCCCCCCACACCGCCTCCCTCCGACCTGCTCCCCACCGGACCGGGGGATCGCCTGCCGTGCCTCCATCCTGGCGTCCTTCATCGAAGACCTTCTTTTGCGTTGACGCGGCGGCACGTTCCCAAGGATGCACACGCGGAAGAGAAGCACGAGGAGCAGCAACAGGACAACGAGGATCAGCAGCAGCAGCCTGCGGAAGACGTCAGCCATGAAACAGTCGACGACGACGGCAGCAAACAGAAGACAACGCGGGCGCCAACATAACAGCGGAGCGCAGTGCTGCAAACGGCCGTCCCGACTTCGCAACAAACCCCCGAGGACGTCTTCGGTCTCCCACGCTCAGTGCGTAATTGGGAGCTGGAGTGCAGCCTGAAATATTCGTATCTGCCGACCGTTGGGACATTCCCGCGGATTGCCAAACGCGACGACGCAAGACGACACCTTCTGGACGTGGGGGATGTCGGTTGCCCGCAAACGGTAACCGTTGGAGTGAAGCCGAACGTTGGCGACCCAACATGTCCGTCGAGACACAGGCAGGACCATCAATGGACCAGACGGGATTGAAAAATGTCGTCAAAGGAGCTGCCGTCGACGCCCCGATTCTTCCGGAAGCTCGACCTCCGAGGGACCTCGGGAGGTCCCTTGGAGAAATCGCCAAAATGGTTGTGGCCCCAAGGAATCCCCGAGGAATCCCCGAGGAAATGTTTTCACATTTATTTTCCGCGTCTTCCCCGAGGATGAGTGGAACGAGCATTTCCTTGGGGAATTTCGGGCCCCGAGGAGTGTCGAACGAGGCCCCTTATGGCCCTGGCTCCGTTCCATTCTGGGGAGCAGCAGTCCGGTTCCTATTCCACCGGCAAGTCAGGACAAAGAATTACATCATTAAACACACTCAATGCTTCCTTCCGTCTGGCCGAAGGAACCCTGGTCAGCATTGATTGCTCCAGCAACCTGGAGGATTGACTGTCAACTTGCCTTACTTCCGCCTTCCCTCTCAGCTCCACTGTACGGACCTGCCAGATAAGTGATAAGGACAAGAAAAGTGGAAGAACTGTAGGAGGTGAAAGGAGGCCTACTCTTCAGAGTTTTTCAACTCCTCCCCTTTCCTCAACCCGCTCTCTTGTAACACTACTGTTTTACTGATTTATCCCTTTCCTTAACCCCTAAACCCTAATGCGTGTTTATCTTTGATCGCATGACTATTGACACAAGCTATGATTCCTCTCTAGGGCCACTACGCCGCATGTATGTCTACCCTACTGCTCTGTGATCTCGCTGATTCCAGCGAAGCGAGGTCTGTTGTTGTGTCTCTCCGTGAACAATCTTCTCTTCTCTTCCAAACCAGTCTTGGAGGGTCTCCTTCCACGGTGCCGAGTTTACCCGTTCCAAGCCTATTTTTGATAAATTTCTCTATGATTGCCTGCTTTTTTCTTGGTGGATCTTCTTTGATATTCTTAACTGCCCGGTTCCAATCCGCTTGATATTCCTGCCGTAAAAGTTGTAAAACATGCTCCCAGGCCTCCTGAGTCGATGTTTTTTGGCCATCTATCGTCTGTTTGCATCGTGTCTTCCATATGATCCAGAGAGTAAGAGGGCGAAGTTTACGGAAGAGGGTCCGCTGCCAGGGCTCATTGTGACTTGGTTGTTCCATGCCCGTTAAGAGTGTGAGCCGGTTGTCTGGTAATAGAGCTCCAACCGCTG